CCACTTTATTTTATATGAAAAACGTATTCTGAGAATACGTTTTTCAATTAAATTTAATTGAAAAACGTATTCTCATAATACGTTTTTCATATAAAACAAAGTGGTGGGCACTGCCCATCGTGGGCAGGTGAGCGGGACTATTTGTGTTATGTATATTTTGTTTATTTGTTTATTTTGTGTTATGCAATGAAAATGATACGAGACTATATATATGTATGTTCAGGTATTCCTTAATATTTATATGTGAATTAAAGTCAATTGAAATAATATAATTTTTAAAGTAATAATTATCATATATTTATCCTTAATTTTACGCATGTCAATATATTAGTATATATATTTAATTTTTCGATTAACACTACAAGATTAACATTAAAGACTATAATAAATCACGGTTTACATATTGAAATATTGAAAAACATTACGAATACATATTGAAATAACACTAGTACATGATAGATCACAGTTTAAGGAAAAACATTTCAATAACTAGTGAATTGCAATTTTTAATTTTATTTGTGTGCTGAAATTTTAATTTTTAATGAATACTTATTTCTCTGATTTTATTATGTATAATTAATTATAATTACATAAAGTTCAAATTGAATTTAAAATAATAGTGTAGTTCAATTTGTAAAATTGTAAAATATGTGGGTAGTATTGAAAAGTTATAAAAGTTGATGTAAAAGAGAATATTCTAATAATATCCTTTTTGGTATGAGAATGAGTTTTTCGGTTGGAGATAAATTACTGCAAAATAGGACAATTACTGCAAAATGGGTTTGAGTATGAGTTTTTCGGTTGGAGATGGTCTTAGAAGAAGAAGATGTGTGATTATCCTTATCAAATATGATAGTGACTTGTTGAGTCAATTTCACTTTTACTTTTTTATTCTATCTCATATAATAATAGTCAGTTGTCGTGTCTCACACCTGCTGTATCATAAGGGACAACGTAGGGCCCATGGGCCCATGTTTGTGCTGTACAGCCCCAGCCCATTACTACAAAAAGTTTTATGTATCAATTTGTCTAAGCCCAAAATTGTGAAATACTTTGGCACAATCCACAATCCGAGCTCATAGACCGGTGGCTTGAAAATAGAGTATTACGAACCGAACGGTTTGTGAACACAGTTCGTTTCAACTCAAGAAAATTCAAGCTTGATTCGTTATTCGACTTAAACAATTAGATCTTAAACTGTTAATCGAGCTCATTTAGTAAATTAGTCAACACTGTTTGTTTTAGCTTAAGAAAGTTCGAACTCAAGTTCGTTACTTGACTTCAACGATTAAATTTTCAACTATTATATACCCAAACAAAGCTTATTCACTGGTAACTCAACTTTTTTTTTACAAGTTGTGGACAAACTGGTCGAGATTAACTCGTTTGCGAACTTCCATGAGTCTAGCTGAACTTTTGTGAGTTTAAACGAGTACGAGCTCGAGCGAGAGTTACTCAATTCAACTCGAATGTCACTCCTACTTAAATGTTAAGAATAATTTATTCTCTCTCTCTATATATAATTATATATCATTGTATTTATTTAAATGACATGTTTTTGTGCTTTAGGAACTCCACTAGGATCATTTCACGTATATGTTTTATACATTACGTAGTATTTGTTTATTAATGTACATTAATTTATTTTATTAAAATCTTATCTTTAAATCTTTTATTAAAAAAGCAGCAAAAACTTGATAAAAATAAAAAATCAATCAGAAGGACAAAAACAAAATAAAGGTCATGTAACGTTTTGCGATTGATTTACAGCGGGATTTATACTGTTTATCCACTTGTATCATTTTTATACTAAGAGCATATATTATAATTTCTTATGATGGATATTATCATTGAAAGTGAAATAATATAACATAGAATGTCGTACTAAGAGCTTCCGCAAGGCTGCGCCAAATAACCCATTTCTACTCTATTGTAGCGAAAAACCCTCTCAAATGTTGCGGCACAAATTAACGCTATTTTGGAGAAAGCTACAACGTTATGCCATATCTGATGCAATACTGTAGCAGTGCTACATATATTTTTTTAATGTAAAATTAATGATAAATGTTTGTATAATGTGTATTAATAAATGTATTTTATGCTAAAAAAATTTGTGCGATATATTTTTATGCTAAATAATTTTATATTTTTTATTTATTGATGTATTATAATTTAATTTTGCATTTTTTATAAAATAGTACCATATGAATAAAAATTAACACATTTCAACAAGTAGATTTCATTAATATTAAAAGTATACAACAAACGGAAATTATAAAATAGACAAATAAAACCACATAATATTAATATCAGAAGTTTTCAACACACATAAATCACAAGATACACAAATTACAACAACATAATTAATTATTCTAGATAAAATTTTTGAAATAAAAATAAATAAAATACTTGAGTAATAAATATTTATATAAGATCAAATATACATATATATATCAATTTATTTGAAATAAAAAATAATATATTTGATGTAGAGTAAAATGTAAATAAAAAGACTTATAGTAAAATTTGCGTTATAATAGAGATAAGGGCTGGAGATGGTTAAATTAATGGAAAATGCTACAGTCCCGTTACGGAACTATTTCGTTGGGATTCGTAACCGTTTGATCAACTATATATGACGGTTACATGATAATCTAACGGTTACAAACCCAACGGAATGGTTCCGCAACGGGACCTTAACATTTCCCTAAATTAATAATGTGTTTGGAGAGTGGTTATTTTCATAATCTTTGCAAAATATTTAGCAAATTCAAATGGCATCACCAAAATGTCATGATTTTGATATGAAAAGGATTCTTCAAAATATAAGATGTTTTTTTCTTGAATTTGGGGAATAAATTTAAACTTTTTAGTAGCTTGAGGAAGAAAAAAAAAATAGACGAAAAAAAAAAGGAAAATGCCAATCATTTCAAGTAAGCTTTGGTTCAATATTGAACTCAATTATTAAGGATAGGCTTGACCACCTTAATTTGGACTTATGGTCAACAGTACCACGTACTCGTGAGTTGACAATTTTGCTATTATTTGTATCCATCTTTCTTCCCTTTAGAGTCGGTTTTGATACGATTTATTGGTTAAAACGAGTTAATATTGAATGAAAATGATTGTGTGGAGGATTAAATGAGATTTTACGTTTATGTTATGTTTATCAGACAAATAAGTTAGCTTGTAACTTATTTGGTTAACTTATAAGTTTCCTGTATTTAAATAAACTTCGATTGGTAGGATGAACTTTTTTAAAAAGCTCGAGTTTATCTCATAAGCTTATTCGGGTATCTTTTCAAATAAGTCCATTTAAATTTTTATTTCAGTTAGTTTATCGGCTAATTTTACCAAACATTTTTATCATATAAGCTAACTTCTATAAGTCATAAGTTATAAGCTTAGCTTATCAGTAATTTTCAAATTTATAACTTCTCATAAGTTATAAGCTTAGCTTATCAGTAATTTTCAAATTTATAACTTCTCGCGTACAAAAGCATAAAAGTTAGTGACATAAATACTTTGACTTCCAAGTCAGATATTATAATGTTACTGATACGTCCTAGGTTTAATATTATAAAATTATGTACTCCTTCTTATTTTTTTTACATATCATTCTAGTTTTATCAACTATTTCACAAATAAATATCGTTTTGGATTTTTTTACATATTTTTCCATTATTACCCTCATTTGGCTAATAAATACATTACGTCTTTTCATATTCACTATTTAATTTTTCTCAAAATATTCATTTTTATCTTCATTAAATAAGGTTATTATTGACAAAAAAAAAAATAATCTTAATTAATTTATAAATTCTCAAAACGACATATATTAAAAATAGGAGGTAGTAGTAATTAATTAATGATTCGGGCTTGGAGTTTTTGGCTGTAAATATGTAAGTCCTCTTGAGCCACTCGTCATATGAAAAAATTAAATGAATTGAGTAGCCGCCAAGTTCTTTGGAGTGCTTGTTCACTCGAACAACGAATATTGAAGTTCATACTCACTTGAATAGTATCATATCCTAATATTGACCAACTCGGTTCGTATCAATGACTCTGCTCAAGAGTTGCTGAATATCTTGGGTAAAAAATTATTTATTATTATTATTATTATTATTATTATTATTATTATTATTATTATTATTATTATTATTATTATTATTATTATTATTATTATTATTATTATTATTATTATTTTGTTTTTCACAAATGGACCCGCATAATAATTTTCACAAATTGCTCGTTCTCCTCAAGTGTGTGGTAAATTTGTGGTCGACCATAGACCGGCTAATGATTAATTAATTCACATTAATTTACTTATTTAGTGGTCTTGGAGTTTTAAATAAATCATATTGTAATCAAAATTCTTTTACTTTTAAGCTAAGGATAATTTATGAAAACGCACTATGAATTTGCATGATTATGAACTATAATCATGTCCCTTAAAAGATTTGATCATAATCATGCCGACCGTCTCCCAATCACCATGCCCTTTTTTTTCAAAAGATAATAAGCACTAAGAGTGTGGTGATAATGGCTGAAGGGGGACCAACGGAAAATTTTGGAGTGCATGGTGGCTCGGTTCGTGCCATACGAGACTTGCTTCACCGAGATTGGGAGGCGATTGTGACTCATTGTTATAGAGAAGCTAACTTTGCAGCGACTGTTTGGCGACTCTAACTCATCGTTGTCCTAGTGGATGTCAACGGTTATTTGACCAACCATCAGTAGTTACACCGTGGTTACAACACGACCTCATTAGTGTGGCTCACCCACGAAATATATATGTCTGATGGTCTTAGACTTTAACCTCCTTTCTTCGTTAAAAAAAAAAGTTAATAAGCACTATATCAAAGTTCTTTTAAGGAAGGTATATCATAATACCAATTTACATTTGTAACTAAAAGAAATAATTTTCATGTTATCAAACTTCATATATTCATATTTTATGGCTTCAAAGACTACAAATATATAAAAAAAAAATATTTGTCACTATCAAGGAAATAAATAGCTCGCTAAAGTTGCCGCTATTTGAGAAATAGCTTTTTTTGGCAGCGTGCCGCTATTTGTATTCATGTGCAATTTAGCCGCTAAATCCCGCTAAATCTCCGCTATAGCTCCGCGGAGGCTATTTGTATTCATGTGCAATTCTTTTTATTAATATTTTTTAGAGTTAAGTTAACCACTAATTCGACAAGCCACGTAACACCATTGGGCCTACATTGGTTGGACTTTGGTTTGGCCCACTATCTAAATAATATAGAAGAGGCCCAATTGCCAATAACTCTGGAGTTCGGTCCTGCTATGGCTCTTCGAATCGTGGTGAGGAGAATTCTGTTCTCTTCACCGCCGTTGGCCCGGAAATCGACCGTCTCCGGTGGCCGATTTTCGTCATCGTCATCGTCATCGTCATCGTCTTCTTGCCCGAAGCCTGAGAAGAAAGTGACCAACGATCGTCTCGCCTCCGTTATTGACGCCGTCAATGACCGTAAACTCCCGCCGGAGCTCCGAGGACAGCGCAACAACGTCAGGTTAATATTTTCTATGCTCTGAAATAGCTTTATACTTGTAATATTTGTACATCTCAGGGAGGTTTCTGCTTGAATTGCTTAAATCCGGAGAGCTTCGTGTGGTAGTGTGAAATTGAAATTTGGGGTTAAATTATTCGTATGAGCTGAACATTTGTTGCTCTATTTAGACTTTTAGTGATCTATAAGGGGCAATTGGTTTTTCCTCTTTACTTATGAAGTATAAATGCAATTCCAGTGCACACATTCCTGATTTTAATGGAGTTTTGCTGGTTATGGCTGGTGAATTTGCACAGATTCTTATGTGAGTAGGCCTAACCGTCGGCATTTGTGCCTTTTCAATAAAAATGTGTTTTCATGCTATGAAATGTCACTTGTTTTGTTTATGATGTTACTTAGAGTATGAAATGTTTATATGTTAAATAGTACGACTAACTAACCGTTAGACCTGCCTAACAACAATCTTACCGGCTTATATGTGTTCTTCTGCTGGTAAGGTTTTCTTATTCCTGGGCGGTGAGAACATTTTGTCATGCTTGATTGGTCCGCAATTCGTTGGTTTTCACACACTCCCAAATCATAGTTTATTGTCAATTCCTACAGAAGTATGGTAGTTAATTGTAAAATCGTTAACTAAACGTGTGATCTTAGTTGATATCTATGTTTGAATATCTAACAATCTCTTGAGAAACAAAGAGAGCTTCATTCTTTTAGAAACCTCATAATGTAGGACGCTGCTCTGTTTGTGCAGTGTGTGTAGTTGGTATGAGTTTTGTAGGTTTTAGTGATTGTAAATCTACGTGACCGCGCGTCGCAACGCGGCAAAATTAATATTTATAAATTCCTTATTCGACTTCTACCAACTAGTAGTAGCAGTGAGTAAGGGTCGAACCCAAGGGAGTGTGAATCAAATTGTGATATTTTTGTATTAATTGAAATTATAAAAGCAATAAAAAAGAGGGGGGGTTTTGAATTTAAGAACTAAATTAACTAAAATCCTAATAAAGAAAATAATATCTAAACAATGAAAATAAAAATAAATAAATGAAGAGAACTTTCTAGTTCACGGTTCCGTCTACACCCTCGACTGACTCGTCTAATCAACTTTGGTATCAAATCTCGTTATCTTATGAAATTACTAGCCCTAGGTGACGCCACGGGCTGTTACCCGAATTTTTCCTTATTTTTAATCTAACCGCGAGACGCTCTACGATTAAATCTGACCTTTTGAACAGTCTAGGAAACGCTTCCTAAATTTAATTCAATTAGCCGCTTTACGAATTAGAAAAATAGGCTAGACTAAGTAGTGAACTCAACCGCGTTCGTTCACTTAAATAGGCCGTGTTATCCCCGGTAGTTACCATCTTCCGGATACCACTTGCGAATTAAACACATCAACAATTACGGATTGAAGGCCTAATTCAGGTGTAGATATGTAAAGTTTAATCTAGGTGATCAATCTAAATAAGACTCAACACATCATGGTTAATTATTCAAAATAACACAAACAATTCCAAAAAGATAACTCAATAATCAACCAAGTAATCAATCAAATATCGTCAAGTCGTAGGGTTCGACATCCCCGGAACTAGAAATAAAAGCTACTCTAACATACTAATAAAAATAAATAATAAAAAGGAAAAGAGAAGAATATAGTTATCCTCCTCGTGTGCGGGTGCGGTCTCCCTCCGCAATTCGTCGGGCTCTCGTGCTTTTCTGTCCGTGCGTATCCTCTGTTATGTTCTCTCTGCCTGGCGGCTTCTCTGTTCTCTGTTGCGTGAATTTATGTCTACTGGCGGCTCTCCTCACGTAAATAAATCCTCTTCTTGTAAATTATTCTCCCCCGATGATAGTCAATTTCCAATTAATTCCCATAGTTTTGTGGGCCACATTAGAAAGTGATAGACTTCTCTCCAAACTTACGTATGAAT